CTTACGAGACTGACTGTGGTTTGTTTTGGGACTTAGGGTATCGGGCCGATATCGGTTCGCAGAATTCGCAAACCTTGACACCTGTGATGCCCAAAGTGTAGCATCACGCGGTCGACATGTGATACCCTTACAACTTTGGCGCCGCGTCCGGCCGCAGCAAATGTAAACCTTACCACGTGAAGCCCAAAGCACTCAAACCCTCGACCGCTAACCCTACACCTAGCCCTAGACCCTCAAAGTATAGCCCCGAATTACAAAAGTCATCAACGCCCAATACGTGCTTGCAAAACCTTCTAGACACACCGGAGCAGAAATTCCCTTGAAACCTGAAGCCCTAAAGCCGCAAGCCCTATAGCCGCAGCCCCTAAACCCATAGAGCCCACAGCAAACCCTAAACGTAGCGCCTACGAACCCTTTTACAAAGGAGGACTCCTCTCCTTAGGGGAACCCTGCAAGGACTCCTTAAAGACGCCATTCACACAATCCCCTAAATTCCAAAGCACGCAGCCCAAACCTAATGCTTCCTGCATTCTCCCCGGCGCTGCCGCGCGCGCCCGAGTGGAGATTCCCCAGGACGGCCCGGGGGACTTTCCCTTGGGCTCCAGTTAATGTACTTAGAGGATCAGGGGACTTAGTAAGTGGGGTTATAGGATGTTATAGGCACCTTTTTGGGGGTCATAAGTGGATACAGCAGTACATACCTCAACTACAACCTTACTTACTAGGTGCCCTGAACTTCCAAGTAGCAACCTGATTAAGAAACCCTTGTCCTATACTGGGCTTTGGAGTACCCTACTTTAATACTTTTTCTTAATGGAACCATTATGAAACAAAAGTATATACTTTTTCTCCCTGGTTACTTAAGAGCCCAGTATATATCCATATAAAGAACCTTAATATGGACAGAAAGGTTTGTTAATCAGGTTTATAGTTGCCTAAATGATGGGTTGCAGGGCTACATCTATCAGGGCTTGTAACCTACTCTTCAAACCCTAAACCCTAAACCCTCAAACCCTAAACCCTAAACCCTCGTGGAGCCCAGGTTTTGTTTCTAGAACCACAGGGTTGTCAACGATGTTTTATGTTTTCTTGTTGTTTTTTGGTGGGTGGGTTTTCAGGTGTTTTAGGCTTTACAGGCGTATGTTTTTTTCAACAATGCTTGTTTTGTTTTTGTGTTGTTGGCTTCTGAGGTGTCTTTACACTTGCCAAAGTTGTATAGGGTTTTGAATGGCTTTCTAGGGCTAGCAAAGAAATAGAAATATCTGGTGATACTCTTCACCTGCAGTCCCTTTACAATTCGACTATAAAGTGACCCAAGCCACCATTCTTAGCTTCAGGCCCTTACATTACTCGCTATACATCGGCACCCATGTCGAAAAGGTAGTGCTTCTGGGTTCGCGGGTTTCAGGGTTTCGTACAATGAACGCTAGAACCCGTAAAGCCCGAAGCTGTTGAACCTACACCTCCAATCTTTGAGCTTAAAACCTTGATCCCACATACTACAAGCGCCAAAATCTTGAAGAGATTCTGAACCTGCAACCTCTAATGCCTCCACCCCCAACTCTCCATTCCAGGGAGGCGACTTCGTAAGTAGGACGGGATCGGACAGGCTTGGGCAACGCGGATGAAGTTACGGACGCATTGTCATGTACACTGTCGCTGAGGATGGCGACGTTTGCGAACTTGATGGAGGTCTCGGAGGCGGCGGCTCAAGAAGTTCTGATCAACTCCATGCTGCCGCAGCTCCTGCTTGATCATCCGAGAAGCTCCGTGCGCGACTCTGTCCCGTCGGAATACCAAAGGCATCCCTGTGCAAGGGTTCTGCATCACGTTGGCCGGTAGCTTCACTTCCTCCCCCAAGGCCAGTTCCGTGCTCCCCTTGATGGGGGTGGCTATGGTGGCCGTGACCGCAGCTTATCACATCAGCCCTTTCCTTGGGTTTGAGGTTTCGGCTTCCGGCAAAGGGATCCGCCCATCAGGTAAGGCGACCGAACTTGCGGTCGCCTTTCTTGCCGGACTTCTTCGCGGCTTTCGAGATGTTGGTGCGCGACGAGGTCTGCTGCGCGAAGGGCTACCACTTGTTGTACTTGGAGGGTCGGCGGACTTAGTAAGTAGGTAGTAAGTAGACTTATAAGTACCCTAAAAGGGACCCTAATTGGGGTTATGGTACTTATAAGTCTATAAAATATCCAGCTACTAAGTCTACCGGCCCTCCAAGGTATGGGTATGACGAGAAAGATCCGAGTGCAGCTTACGTCGTGGGAGGGGCTCATCCCAACAGTTCTGGTCTGTAAGTAGGCACCGCCACAGACGCCCAGAGACTCCAATAGCCCTTAATTAAGGAATATACCTTCAAAAAATATATTAGGGACCCTATTATATTTTAAGGTATATTCCTTAATTAAGGGATATTGGAGTCTCTGGGCACCTGACATTTTTCCTCCTAAGTCTGCTGGTCCGTCAAGTAGACCCTAAAACATGAACCGCTTGTAGAACCTACCCTAAACGCCCTAAACTCTAAACTGTCTGGTTCTTAGTAGGGAATAGGGGAATGGGTTAGAGGGACTACTGTAAGGGACCCTTAAGGGACTAGCATAGGGATCATTCCCCCACTCCCGACTAAGTACCAGGCAGTAAACCCCAAACCCTAAACCCCTAAACCCTAAACCCTACACCCTAAACCCTAAACCCTAAATCCTAAACCCTAAACCCTAAACCCCTACTAAACCCCTAAACCTTAAACCCTACACCCTAAACCCTAAATCCTAAACCCTAAACCTTAAATCCTAAACCCCAAGCCCTAAACCTTGAGATTTTGCTGCCTCTCCCGGTCCTTTGAGCAGGGGGCAACCCCAGGCAGTTGGCGGTTTCTATGGTCCGGCTCCTTTCGGCGACTCGGCCCGCTTCCTTACGGTTGAGGGTTTAAGGTTTGGCTTTTTTCAGCCCTCTAAAAAATTATGTACAAATCATAAGTGCGCTCTTGCATTTAGTAGGTTCTCTCCAAAAAAAGCACATTTTATCATTAAGACAACTTTCTAGGGGTTTTTGAACGCTTTCGAAGGCCTTCTTGGGCTTACAGAGGGTTTTCATAGCATCGTCATATGTAGCAGATCGGTTTAGGGTGTGGTGATTATTGGGTCAGTTGGGGGCGTGTTTTGGGGGGGTTTTCTCCGGTTCGGAGATTTTTTGGGGCTTGGGGTTCCGGTCTTTGACGCTGTAAGGAGTTCCTGGTTGAATTTGAGGGCTTCCCAGAAAGTCTTGAAGCCCCCTTCAATGAAGGAATGTACCTTACTTGGAGGGCCGGTAGACTTAGTAACTGGTTATTTTATAGACTTATAAGTACCATAACGCCAATTAGGGTCCCTAGTAGGGTACTTATAAGTCTACTTACTACCTACTTACTAAGTGCCCCGACCCTCCAAGTACCCTGCCAGAACCTACCTTTGTTGTAGGGTCCCTATAAATCCCATATTAGGGTTTACAATAAGAACCTCCAAAAAAGTAGGGTTTAGTTTCGGTACGGCCCCCACTCAGCAATAGTTGAGTATTATTCATAATACAGATATATGAGGACCTTAATAGTAGCCCTATTATAGACTCTTACTGTATGGCGGCCGTACCTAAGGTTTAGTAGGTCTAGGTACATGAAATCATGGAGAGGGATCCCCAGGCTGGGTAGAAACATGTTCTTGAAATGGAGGGCTTTCGTGGCGGAGTCCAGGGTTTAGGGTTTAGGGCTAAGGGTTTAGGGTTTAGTGTTCAGGATTCAGGGTTTAGGGTTGAGGGTTTAGGGTTTAGGGTTTAAGGTTTAGGGGTTTAGGGTTTAGGGTTCAGGGTTTAGGGTTTAGGGGTTTAGGGTTAGGGGTGGGGGTGCAAAGTTAATAAAGGGATTGTGGGCACCTGCTCTGTTTCCTTTGATAGGTTTGAGGATGTGGGGTCTAGGGTCCGGGTTGGTGCTCAATGGCCGTTGATAAGGCCTACCTAGATCTACTAAACCCTACTTTTGTAGGTCCTTATTGTAAACCCTAATATGGGATGAATAGGGACCCTACAAAAAAGTAGGTTCTGGTAGGTTAAAGTTTTTCAGGGCCTTTGCATTCCTACGCATCCCGGAACCCTAAAGCCCCGAGACCCTACTTGGAGGGTCGGGGGACTTAGTAACTGGTTCTTTTATAGACTTATAAGTACCATAACCCCAATTAGGGTTCCTTTTAGGGTACTTATAAGTCTACTTACTACCTACTTACTAAGTCCCCCGACCCTCCAAGTAATCCCCTGGAACCCTAAAACCCTTTTGACTCCTTGATCTCCTTGAACCCCAAACCCCTAAACTTTTGTAAACGCCCTGAGCTCCTTAAAATTCACCTAACCCCTGGGCTCCTTAAACTTAAACCCTTAGAAACCCTAAGCTCAAAAAATCCTTAAAACTCCTTCAGCCCCAGGCCCAGCATCCTAAACCCCTAAACCCCTAAACGCTAAACCCCTCAAACCTAAACCCTAAACCCTTCAAACCTAAACCCTGTCCCCTAAACCCTAAACCCTGAACCCTAAAACCCTATCCCCTAAGCCCCTACTCCCCAAACCCCTACTCTCCTTCAGCCCCTTGAATTCCCTTAAATTTTCTTAACTCCTGGGCTCCTTAAACTTGAAACCCTTAGAAACCCGAAGCTTTAACCTTCCCTTAAAAATTCCTTCAGCCCCTTGAATTCCCTTAAATTTTCTTAACTCCTGGGCTCCTTAAACTTGAAACCCTTAGAAACCCGAAGCTTTAACCTTCCCTTAAAAATTCCTTCAGCCCCTTGAATTCCCTTAAATTTTCTTAACTCCTGGGCTCCTTAAACTTGAAACCCTTAGAAACCCGAAGCTTTAACCTTCCCTTAAAAATTCCTTCAGCCCCTTGAATTCCCTTAAATTTTCTTAACTCCTGGGCTCCTTAAACTTGAAACCCTTAGAAACCCGAAGCTTTAACCTTCCCTTAAAAATTCCTTCAGCCCCCCGAGGCCCCGCCCGGGCCCTGGGCGCCTGGGGTCCCCGGAGGCGGCCCGAGAGGGCCGCAGCGGGGCTCCACCTAGCGCTCGGCCCCTTGGGAGCGCTTGCTTCGTTTTATTTTTATTTTTGTAATATATGGGTTCTTATAGGAGTTTCCGAAAATTGGGGTACTCTATTTTGGGGTCCTTATAATATTAGTTGGGTGGAATTCGGGTTAAGTGTTTATGGTTGAGTTTTTTTGAGTTGTTGTTTAGCTTCTTTTTTTTTGAAGGGGTGCTTTGGGTTTAGAGGGTCTGGGTTTGGAGTTTCAGGGTTTAGGGTTTCGGGTTTCGGACTTGAGGGGTTGGGTTTAGGTTACATTCGGGTTTAGGGTCTAGCATTTTGTGTATTTTTTCGACTAATGTGCTGTGCTACTGCTAGTATTCTCCATCTTTTCCAGGTTTTTCTCTGCTGGACCAAAGGTGCTTAGGCGTTTCTGCTCTACATTCAATAATAATCTTGGCAGCATGAGTTGGCATGCCCTTCTACATCAAGCATATAGGGTCCCCCCTTTTTGATTAAGTGGTTTTGACGAGTGTCGTTCTCTGGGATGGGAGAGTTTCGGACAATTTCCTTGGGGAGTACTTTGTGTTTACCTCCCTTGGAAGCGATCCCCTGAACCCTCGACCTGAACCCTAAACCCTAATCCCTAAACCTTAAACCCCAAACCCTAAACCCTAAACTCTAAACCCTGAAGCCGTCCCTTGGGATCCCAGATGGCCGATGAGGAAACCATGTTTGCCACCGGGGGTGCCTCCAACCGCAGTTCCGGTTAAACCTCCAGCATCGCCCAGACAGTCATGCGAGTGGCCAAAGAGGCGGACGCGGCTGGCCTGGGGTGAACGGAGGCTTCCGCATCCAGCAGACTGCACCCGGCGTGGGATGGCCAAAGCGCCAGCCCACCGCCGGCTCCCAACGCCGACTTGGCGTTTGGACAGGAGCTGCGAGCGCCACGGAAGGCGGCGTTGAAATTGAGCAGGATTTCAAGGGATTTCTGCGCAACCTTTGGTGGGTGCTGGCGCTGCACCAGCACCTATTTCGAGAAGACGCTTCTGCTTCAGGCCATGCTACGATCCAAGCCCAGCGCTGGAGCCGAGGTGCGGCACAGCCACATGGTAACTCCATGCAGGCTATAGATTCCTACGTAAGTACAGGGGTGATGCGGGAACAGGCGGGCGATGTCAGGGATAGACATGACCATCATGGGCCGAGGTGGGTCGAACAAGGTTCGTCGGAAGCCTGCATCGGACAGGCCACTTCCAGGGGGCAATGCTGGGTAGGGGATGCATTGGGCTCGAATTAAATACTCAACTACCACTACTCTGGACACGAAAGTCCGAAAACCCGATGTAAGACTTCCCAGGTCGCCGTCGTCCTAGGCAAGGTAAGGACGCTGTTGAAGAGATGCTTCGTGAGTACTATAGGGGCTTCAAGAATTACCTATACTCTTGTGGTGGCTCCGTCTTATAGTTAGAGTGGAATGGGCCCACAAACCCTACTCTAATCATTACGCCCCCTATAGTAGGCTTGACAGTCCCCGAGGTGTACTTCTGGACTAATATGGGGGTTTCCGAAAATAGGGGGCCCTAATATAGTAGCCTAAATAGTAGGATCCTTATTGTAGGGACCCCAAAATAAGGTTCCCCGTAATTTTCGGAAACTCCCACACAGCCCGACATCCTGAATCGAACCAGCCCCGACCCGAACCTGAGGCCACCAGGATGCTTTTTTTCCTTGGAGAGCCACTTGTAGCAACCCCAAACCCTACACCCTAAACCTTGGGTACTGCCCCCACTCAGTAACAATTGGATAATATTCACAATATAGAAATTCTTAAGGACCTTAATAGTAGCCGTATTATAGACTGTTACTGTATGGGGGCCGTACCCAACGTAAACCCATAAAGGACCCCCTTATGTAAAGAGGCCTCATCCCTAAACCCTAAACCGTTATAACGATCCGTCAGGGCTCCTTTAAGGGATCTGGAAGGGCTGAAAGCCCAGAGACTCCAATATCCCTTACTTAGGGAATATTCCCTAAATTTTAGTCGGATCCCTACTATAATTCAAGGAATATTCCTTAATTAAGGGATATTGGAGTCTCTGAAAGCCTTCGGAATTCAGAGTTCGGGCATGAAGGGACTGAGCAAGGAAATTTAACGGTAAGCTAAGAACGCTTCCCAGAGACTCCAATACCCCTTCATTAAGAAATACACCTCAAACCGTATTAGGGTTCCTATGATAATTTAAGGTATATTCATTAGTTAAGGGTTTTGGAATCTCTGGGTTGTATTGGGGTACCCTAATTTGGGTGTTTTAGTGTAGCTATAACTTTAGTTCCTCCAAGGTCCTGGCTCAAAGCCCTACTTACGAGCTCCCCTGAGTCGTCGAGTACGGTCAGTAGAAAGCTGTTGCTGTTAGGGCTTATGCTAGAGCCAGGAAAGGCAGCAGGAAAGCCCGAAAGCTTCAAACCGTCCTGAACTCTCACCCCTAAACCCTAAACCCCTAAACCCTAAACCCTATACCCCGAAACCCCTAAAGCCCTAAACCAAGCCGTAGCCGAGGAGCTGCAGCAGTAGCCAAAGGAACGCAGCTCATCATCACGGAAAAGCCATCGCACCTGGCCTTATATACATCCCGACACCTTTTAATCCCTGAGCCCTAAGCCCTGTCCTGACGCTTCGTGCGATAGTTTTCAGCTTGTTTTAAAGGCTGTTGGGTTCTGCTCCTATCAAAAGGTCAGCGGCATTTTTCGGGGCCTGCCGTCTAAGAGTAGCTCCTCCAGTGGTGCCCTTGTCCTTCTGTATTCTGCGGTCTCCAGATGCAGACGAAATACGAGAAAAGGGAACACTCTTAGTCTACCGGCTCCAAAGGGGGTTATTGTAACTCTGAGCTTAGTGGCGTTTTAAAATTGGGTGGTTGTCAACATTAGGGTCCCTTTTTGGTTCATTATCAACATACGGCACTTATTATTTAGGGTGCCCAACAATGGACCATTATTTTGACAACCATCCTAAAATCAGGTTTAGGGCTCAGCTTCTGGCCGGGATTTCTCTGATCGTCTAAAAGACCCTAAATCCCTAAATCCTTAACTGGAACCCAGAGAGCAACCCCAAACCCTAAACCTTAAACTACCCTAAAATCCAGAGCTTTCGGTAGCCAGAGAGCAACGCCGCTTGATTCTTTCAATACTTTAAAGTCGTCTGTTAAGGGGTATTGGACTCTTTTGGATCGTTTGGGGTTTCAGGGTTCTGGTTTTCAGATGTAGGATTAGAGGACGATGGTTCAGGGTTTAGCATTTAGGGTTTAGGGTTCAGGGTTTAGGGTTTAGGGGTTTAGGGGTTTAGGATGTAGGGGTTTAGGGTTTACCCATGCCAGGGTTTAGGGTTCAGGATTTAGGGCGTCAGATCATCCTGTACACAGCTCGTGGAGGGGGTTCGGGAAATGGAAGGGTACCTTCTTGTAGCTCCATTTCAGGTGGTCCAAGTGATTAGGGTCCTGCATAATGTAGGAACCTGATTAAGAGCGATCAAGAATCCCTGGTCCTATATGCCGGTTAGGTCCCCATTAGGATCCCTAATGAAGACCGAATGTTTCTTCATGAAGCTCCTACGTTAAGAGTCTCCTGCTTTCTCAAACACCCCTGTGCCTTCGTAGCGAGCTGGGGAGGATACACACTTACGCCCTGTGCCACCGTACACCTTAACTCAAAGGGGAAAAGGAGGGACCCTTAATGGGGACCCCTACCCTACAATGGGCTATATAATGGGTATATAATGACTATAGTAAGGTTCTATACCTGGGGGTCCCCATTAAGGGTCCCTCCTTTTACCCTTTGATTAGCCAACATGGACCAGCCACAAGTCTGCATGCCGCCACCTCAACATCAGCTCCACAAAAACAGCCACAGGAAGGTGCTGAGGGATGAGATTGCGGGCCTCCAGGAGCAGCTTAGTATAGGGGCCTAAATGTTTTCCAATATTCTTCCGGGGGTTCCTTATTGCATACTGGGCCCCAAAACCCTATTCTGATAGGCGTCTATAGTATCTTCCTCACCGAAAAGTGGACAGCATCCAGTGTCCCAGAGACTCCAATATCCCTTAATCAAGGAATATTCCTTAAATCATATTAGGGATCCTACTATAATTGAAGGAATATTTCTTGATTAAGGGATATTGGAGTCTCTGGGGTTGCTCCTCAGCCCTGAACCTTACACCCCTAAACCCTAAACCCCAAACCCTAAACCCTAAACCCCCTAAACCCTAAACCCCCTAAACCCTAAACCCCCTAAACCCTAAACCCCCTAAACCCTAAACCCTAAACCCTAAACCAGGAAGCTGCCAAAAACCGCAAAACCCGCCAAGCCCAGGAGGATGGCCGCCCGGAGGGAAAGGGTTACTATAAGGGACCTCCTTAATAATTAGAACTAGGTTCCTTTAAAAGGGTTCCCTTAAAGGGTTACTATAAGGTATCTCCTTAATAATTAGAACTAGGTTCCTTAAAAAGGGTTCCCTTAAAGGGTTACTATAAGGGATCTCCTTAATAATTAGAACTAGGTTCCTTAAAAAGGGTTCCCTTAAAGGGTTACTATAAGGGATCTATAAGGCGAAGCCCCCTTGAAGCCCTAAAGCCCGAAACCCTCAGCCCTAGCGTGAGATGTTTCAAGGGTGGCGAAGCTGGTGGCGAAAGCCCTGGGATTGAAGCAGGCGGGGTCATTTTCTGATCGACATTGCAACTTTAGGGTTTAGGGTTTATGGTTTAGGGGCGTGGACTGGAGTTTTTTGCTGTAATGTGCTGGGCGGTTTTAGGGTTGAGGCTTGAGGCATGTTACACATTTAGGGCTGAGGGGCTTCTTGATTTCGGGCTTATGGCTTCTCTACTATTTGCTTAAGAACCACCCAAAAATAAAAACAAATATTCCTTATGGGGGTAATATAGGGATTATCATTTGTTATTTTTTGGGGGTTCTTAAGCAAATAGTAGTTCTGAGCGTTGAACCCCGCAGCCCTCCTGACGAAGAGAGAGTTCGGGTTCCAGGGTTCAGGTCTCAGGCTTTACTGCTGAGGGTTGTTTAGGGTTTAGGGTTTCAGGTTTAGGGTTTAGGGTTTAGGGTTTAGGAGTTTAGGGTTTCGGGTTTCGGGTTTAGGGCTTAGGGTTTCGGGGTTAGGGTTTCGGGTTTAGGGCTTAGGGTTTCGGGTTTTGGGTTTCGGGTTTAGGGTTGTCTAGGCGGATATGGGGTTAGGGGTGTAGGCTTTCGAGGTTTACAGGTCCAGGGTGTGGTGGAGGGTGTTCAGACTACTTGGAGGATCATGGGACCTAGTAAGTAGGTTATAAGTGGGATTATAAGTCCCCTAAGTGGGGTTATCCTAAGTATAACCTACTTATAACCTTACTTACTAAGTCCCATGAGCCCTCCAAGTAGTTGAGGAGACGTTCGCTGTCTGCGCGTCGAAGTTAATGATAGCATGTGAGACACGTCTCATGACAGGTAAAGGCTAATTGCTGTGTATGCAGGCTTTACCGGTTTGAGAGGGACCAACAACAGCAAGACAATCCTTACCGCAAAACCAAAACCCCAAATCCTGAATTCCTGAACCCTTCACCCTAAATCTGAGACCCCAGACCCACAGCCCTAAACCCTAAACCCAGAAAAAGGCCTTCAAGAAGCATGCGAAAACCCAAAGCCCTACGTCCTGACTTCCTAAATCCTTCGCTCCAAACCCGGATAGACTCAAGGACGCCGACAACTCTCCTTTGGGGTACTCAGAAATAATTTTAAATTTTTGGTTATTCATTATCATTTTTGCTAGGGTTCTAAGTTCAGCTGAGAGAAGGGGGAATGGATCCCTGTGGTAGCCCCGTTAAGGTCGCTTGTAGCAGTCCCTGTGGGTTGCAGGGGACTACTACGAGGGACCTCATTCCCCCATTCCCTTATAAGAACACCGGGGAGACAATCCAGACACTCAGCTTGACCAGGTATGGGATTGAACGGTTCAGGGCCGTTGTTTAGGGATCTTAGCCTTTTTAGGGTTTTGGGATTGATAGAGGTCTTAGGGTTTGTTAGAGGTCTTAGGGTTTGGGAGTTCGGGGTTTAGAGCTTAGGGTGTAGGGGGTGAGGATTGCAGTGTTTTGGGTTTCATGCTTTATGGGTTTGGAATTCAAGATCCGACGAGTGAAAGAAAGCTTAGTACCGGACTATGGGATAATCCCTGAGCCCTAAGCCTTAAATACCCTGAACCCCACACCCTGTCGACAGGTAAAGGGCAGTGGACACTACCAGGGCAAAAATCTTCTCGTCACCTCTGCGCGGGGACATTTGGTCACCGTCAAGGCTTGGGACTGCTATCTGTGTTTTCAGGTGTAGAGTTTAGGGGTTACAGCTCAAAACCAATAAACCCCAAAAGCACCAAAACACATATCCTAGACTAAACGCCGAAGCCATGGGAGGTCAGGTTTTTAAGTTTCAGAAAGGAACCAACGAAAACACTGGAACATGAATCCCGGATAACCACCCTTGCATTATGCTTTGCGTGCCAGCTTGCTCGTGCCGTGGACGGGCGTATGGCACTGTAGGAAACTGACTCATGACTGCGTGGTTGTCGCCAAGATTCCCTAATGACTCATTTTGAAAATTATTTTCCGGAATTCAATTTGTAAATCGGGTTTCTACATATAAGAGTAGAAACGGCGCCAGCTTCCCGCACTTACGAAAACAGTTGGGTCACTGGCACGATCAACCCTAAACCTTAAACCCGAATTTCTAAACCCTGAACCCTAAATCCTAAACCCTAAACTCAAGGCCTAGGCCGCCCACCTCCGTGGGTGGGCGGCGCTTAAGCCCCTCCACCTCGATGGCGCAGAGCGTCCCAATACGCTTGCCCGCCTTTCCACAGCCATGGGGACAGTAGCACCCACGTCAGGCCCGGTACCGGAGCAGGTTCTCCTCGGGACCAGTACTGGTCCCTAAAAAAGGTAATTACCCGAAAGATCAAGATGATATATGGTGGGGGAGGAAGCCCATTTAAGCCATGCTCCAAAAAAGGAGCGCGAGGGGGGGTTGGAGCCTGCAGCGAGCAGAATTCAAGGACCTTGGGGCCTCCAGGCCGGTCCTAGGGGGAGACCTGGACAAAATTGCAATTTGGGTCTTTTTCGGCGGGGCCTGGCCCCCTGGCTGCCTGCCCTGCCCTGCCCTGCCTTCTGCCCTGTGCACTGACCTTGCCTCTTAAATTCTGTTCATAAAATGTGCATTTTCATTATGGCCCGGTGCCCAAGTCGAGGTCCCCTCCTTTCTTTGTGTGGGCCTAGTCTAAAGAAATAAAGAAAACCATCGAATGAGTTCAGGTGCTAAACCCTAAAAGGAATAGGTTTGGGTGGTTTGGCCGCCTTAGACGGCGTGGGGTGGGAGAGTTAAAAGATTCAGCCATCCACCATCAGGCTCCAACAGCTACTCGTCATATTACGACGCACCCGACAATACACTGTCGCAAGCTACTTCCGCTTCTGCGCCACTCTACGGCAAACCCTAAGCCCTAAACCCTAAACCTTAAATCCTAAACCCGAAATCCGGAAAAAAGGAGCCCTCAAGAAAACCCTAAACCTAAACCCTAAACCCCGAATGATGAAAGCTTTCTGCAACCAGCCGTTCAGGGTATCTGCCTCAAGCCCCAAAGCCCTGGACCCTACACCTGAGCCTTCACCCCTAGATAATTTCAGAAACCTTGAAGGAACCCTTGTCGGAGGTCACAGGCGCACAAAAAACTTGGAGACTAAACGCATGCGAAGTGCTTTTCGTTGGGGTTTTGGGCACTTCGTGTTCGGAACTCGGTGGCTAGGCTGACAACCAGAGAGTTAGGAAAGCATAGCGTAGTGTCTAAACATTCACAGAACCGTTGTTTTGTGCACATACGGTGATGTTTGGGCTAAAAATCTGGAAATCAAAACAGCAGGACGAACTAGGAAGTGTCAATCAGCTTGAATCAAGTTTTGCATAAGCGGCAGTTGGTACCTCCACACGAACTCACATAGTTATCGAAAGAGATCTGGAGTGGCCTCGCAATGGGACGACGAGGGAAGGAAGTCTTGGGACGTCTGCCGCCATCAGTTTATACCCTGCGTCCCAGTCATATGATGTAATATGTGCCGCTGGCTTATTGAGCGCCAGAGGCCGTTATCACAGTTGGCGAGTGGATGCTTTGAGGAAATGACGAGGTCTGCGGGGACGTTATCATAGTTGGCCCATGGATGCTCACGGTTGACCAACAGATGCAATGGAGGACAGACGAGGTCTGCATGGACATTATCATGGTTTTGGACTGGGGAAGGGTGAGGATGATGTCTGAGTGGACGTTATCATGGTTTTTGGCCCATGGGTGTACGGGGCAACCGGTGAGGTCTGGGTGCACGAAAACATGGTTTTGACCCATGGGTGCTCTGGTGAACCGATGTGTTCTGCGTGGATGCTATCATGGTTTTGGCCCATGGATGCTCTGGGGAACGGATGAGGTCTGGGTGGACGTTATGTGGTTTGGCCATTGATGCTCCCTGGGCAAGCAAGAAACTACCAGGTTTTTTTACGCGCATGTTTTCTTGTAGGAACCTTTGCTTGAAGGATCAGGGGACTTGTAAGACGAGTACCTTGGCTAGGGTCCTGACTAGATATGACTATAGTTACCTTACTTACAAGCCCTTTATCTTTATGACAGCCACCTCTACGGAACCCTTTCTAAGTACCCTGAACCTCTAAGTACAGGAGCCCCCAAACCGGCCCCAAACCCGATGCGCGAAGCCCAAAACGCCGGTCAGGCAAACTCCTGGGGAGTTCCCACGTTCCCAGATTTCTCGCAGCTGGCTGGGGGGGACTTTCCTAAAGAGTCTGGGCTTTGGGGTTTAAGGTTTAATTACTTCCTTTCAGGGTTCCTTGAAGGGTCCGTTCCAAAATTCCTTTTTGAGGGTTCCTGCCAGGGTTCCTTCAAAGGCTCCTTGCGGAGTTTTTGCAAGATTCTTTCGAGTGGGAGAGGACAGGGCGGGCGTTTCCAAAATTGGGGTGTTGAGGGTCCACTTGCATCCGTACTGCACGCCAGAAAGGCCACTTGTTTTTAGGAAAGACATGCGGACATGATAATGCAGGATTCTTGGTGGCGGCAGGTTAGGGTCTTAAGAGTTTATGGTTGACGAAGATGTCAAGAAGTTGCTGCGAAGTGAAGGATTTTGTACTATGTTCTCTGTGCCAGCTTCTGTTCAAGGAGTTTTTCCTCTGACCAGGCAGAGAAGTTTCAGTGTCCTGGCATGGCCCCGACTCTTCAACCCTTGCTTGGAGGTTCAGGATCGCTTCAACCTGACTGCAGCTGTACTTGAAGCGTGTTTTTGTGACCGTTGGTGACTAAAGTTCGAGAACTTATCTCCTGGTTGTAAGTACAAGAACATTAGGCTATAAGTGTCCAGAACCTCCATCTGAAATTGTTCAAAACACCTGTCCCGCGAATAGTAGGCCCCTCTTTGGTCAGTATCGCCTTGCAAGAAAGCGTATTTCGCATGGTCCATTCAACACGACCTGTAGAACAACCCCTACTTGGAGGTACATGGTTAGCTACAATAGGGTTATAAGTCGCTTAATAAGAGCTATAAGTATAGTTACATTACTTATAACCCCACTTATAACTACCCATGAACCTCCTAGTAGACCCTGATCCCTCACAGCAGCCCTCCGATGTCAGCCGGGCGCCCCACGCATTGCCACAGGAGCCTTCGGAGTGGCTACCTGGACGACGCCCAGCTCTTCTTTGAAACTGTTTCTTTCGCATTTTGTTGTAATCTTTGTTGTTTGACTTAGTAGCTGAGTGAATACCCTTTACACTTTTTGGGATAATATCACCCACTATAGAACTGAAAGTGTACACTTTTTGGCGCTTATGATCTCAGCAACTAAGTTGATGATTTTGGTGCTTTGGGTTGAGATGTTTTTTGGCTTCGCTCTTGATTTAATGTCGCTCATCCTGCGGCTTGGCCTCTTTGGGCTCATGGCCGAGAGATGGAGCAGCACCCTGCGCACGAAGTGCCCCCCAAATCATCCCTAAACCCTAGATACTAGATAACCCTAACCCGCCACCTAAACACTGAACCCCAAGAACTCCCAGAACCAGCAAAAAGGCAAACCCTAAACCGTAAATCCTAAGCCCTGAATCCTAAACCCCATAGATCCCTTTGAAGAAACCCCTAGAGATCCCTTTAAACCCTAGATGAACCCTAAAGATCGAAAGATGTAGACACGCCAAAGCCCAGGAATGAACGACTCCAACGCGAAAATCCTTGCGCAGCTCCTTGCCGGTCAGGAGTTGAGACGTCTCGGGCTGTAGGGTCGCAGGTTTTTCGGGTTGCAGATGTTTGGGGATTTAGTAGGGTCGGAAATTGGCTGTTAGGTGTTTTTATAGTTATTTTTGTTGCTGCATGTTTCTTCCGTAGGGTTCATCTACCTTCGAGACGAGTCTTGGACAGCAGGGTTCTTTGCCAACAGCCACCAACTGCGCAACCTCGAATTTATGACAACCCCTTGCAGATTTTTCGCACGTTTTCCTGAACCTGCCCCCATACCATGCAGTGCAGTTCAAAGGAAGTTGAGGAAACAAGCCATGCAGAGATTCCAATATCCCTTTGTTAAGGAATAATTATTCCTTAAATCATATTAGGGGTCCAACTATAATTTAAGGTATATTCCTGAATTAAGGGGTATTGAAGTCTCTGAGTAACTAGAACTCCGGTGTTCCCCGGGGTCTTGAATACGTAGAAACATAATTCGTTGGGGCTGCTGAGTATGATTGTGCGCTACGGTTGATGCTAAAAATCCTGCTTTACCTTAATGGCCCTAGACTATGGGAATTATAGTATACTCTTAATTATGGGTAATGCAGGAAGCATATCATCGACGGTAGTTCAACTACGTACTTCGGGCCCATAGGTCGGCTCAATGCACCCGGAGGGCCCTGCAGGCAAAAAAAGCAACCTGACAGTCCCAAGGGTTGAGGGGTTTAGGGTTTTGGGTTTCTGGTTTAGGGGTTTCGGGGTTTAGGGGTTTAGGGTTTCGGGTTTAGGATTTAGGGTTTAGAGGTTTAGGGTTTAGGGTTTAGGGGTTCAGGGTTTAGGGGTTTAAGGTTTAGGGGAACGAAACGCGGCAGCTGCGTGAGAAGTTGACTGCTGCGGAGGCACATGTCGACAGGTTGCAGCAAGCTGCTCCTGCGACTCACATGGAGACAAAGCAGCGGGGCGAAGACAAGGACGCAAAAGAGGCTCAACTGGCACGAATCGCGGCATCGCCAGATGCTTGCACGCCGTCTTCAGGCGGTTTAGGAGCAATTCCAGGCGGTCCAGCAGTAGCTGTCGGCCTTGAAGCAACTTGCCTTTCTGGCCGGCCGCGGCCATGCAGTACACTTTGGCCCTCCCACAGCTGCACTAGGGTTCTCAAGTTGATGGCCATTTTGAGGCACTGGCGCAAGCATGGAACAGGGCTGGGCATCATAGCAGGCCAATAGGGGTTTTAGCCTATGGGGGTTTAGTAGGAATTAGGGTTCCCATAATCGGGTTCATATTATGGAATCCCTACCCCAAGAATCTTAAGCCGCCTTTTGGGCTTCCCATCAGGGCAACATCTGAGCTAACAGCAGTCCCCAGAGACTCCAAAAACCCTTAATTAGGGAATATTCCTTAAACCATATGAGGGTTTATTATAATTTAGGGTGTATTCCTTAATTAAGGGATATTGGAGTCTCTGGGTCTGTCGGCACCCCCGACAGGCGACAGGCTTATGTGCAGGAGGACACACTGCTGCGCGCCGTGAGGAGGGTCTGGGGTTTACGGGTGTAGGGTTTAGGGGTTTAGGGTTTAGGGGTTTAGGGTTTAGGGTCTTAGGGTTTACCTTAAGCCGGAATAACCTACCTTTTTCAAGGACTTATATAAGGAAATCATAATAAGGAACCATAAAAAGGTAGGCTATTCAGGGTTAAGGTAGACCATCATGGGGCAGCAGTTTGTGGTGGAGATTAAAGCCCCAGGGAGCCAGCTGGGAGTTTCCGAAAATGGGGGACCCTCATATACTACCCTAAATAGTAGGATGCTTATTATAAGGGCTCCAAAATATGGTATCCCTAATTTCCCGAAACACCCAGCTGCTTTGCGCAGCACGATGTTTGCAATTTTTGCTACACCCAAACAGTCGTCAAAGCTTCGAACGTTAAGCCCTGAACCGGATCATTCCCTTTCAAAGTCTTCTTGTCAACAGCTTTACGGAAACTAGCGTAATCCCAGGATCAAGAAATTGGCGAAGAACGCCGATGTCCTCATCAACGCGTGTTGCGCTGAGCCTGCTTCAGGATTTTGACTGCTTCTGGGGCGCGGGGTGGAGGCTTTCGGGGTATCATCACCACCACGATCGCTCATCCTTACATCCAAGACCCGAAGCCCTAAGCATCATCATCCACCAAGCTGTCGCGACGAGGAACGCGAAGACTCCTCCTCCACCTCCAAAACTTGATCGAACCATCCGAACCACCACTTGCACAGCTAGGCCCGCTTGTGTTCTGCGGGCTGTTGCTGCTGCAACCGGGCCGGCTGATGGTGACGACGATGATGCTGCTGATGATGTTGATAACGACGAAGAAGACGTGTAGGATTCCGCGCACCATGATGCTGTATAGGGTTATCATCCATTTTTCAAAGTTTTCTAAAGGATTTTATTGAATACATGGGCACTCATAACTTGTACATCGTAATCATATATCATGGTATGCTTATCCAAGGTCTATCAGGGCATGCTGCTACAATGTCAGACCTCTATGTCCAAACCTTAAAGCCCCCAACTTCAGCTTCAAGCCCAAAGCTGCACAACTCCTTTTTCTCTAAGTTTAAAGCCCCACCAGACCGGAATCAAAACGGAGTTCCGTGTCAAACGAGCATCGCCAAGGTTTTTTGCAATCCTGTAAAAGCCCACCCCACCTCCCCCCCTCCCCGGGCCCTGAATCACTGAACCCCACATCCTAAACCTCAAGCCTTAAGCCCTAAACCCCACATGCTGCACCCTTCAGAAAGGTGCGATGCCGGCCGGGAGGGCGAACTCATTTTCAGGCCAATCTCGAGTTCGATTCTTCGGGGTTTCCTACGTTCGGTTTGTTGGAGGGTCGGGGGACTTAGTAGGTAGTTATTTTATGGAGTTAAAAATATCATAACCTCAATTAGCATTGCCTTTGTGGTACTTATTAGAACTCTACTTGATTACCCACTTACTAAGTCCCCGACCCTCCAAGTTAGCGGTTGGCGGTTAGCGTTGATGTTGCAGGGTCAGGTTTGGGGCTCAGGGAGGGAGTTTCCGAAAATTCGGGGTACCTTATTTTGGGGTCCTCATAACAAGGATCCTATTATTTAGGGTACTATATGAGGGTCCCCTGTTTTCGGAAGTTCCCGGGTGTAGGGCTCAGCGTTGAAGGGTTCAAGGGTTTAGGGCTTGGTGCTTGGGTCTTGGTGTTGGAGATTTACCGGTTTGAGGTGTGGGTTTAGGGTGTAGCGTTGAGGGTTTCTGGGGTTAGGGGTTCAGGCTTGGCAGTGGGGGTTTGGGATTCGGGGCTTGGTGCGTTTGGTTCATGGTTTGAGAGTAAATCCTACATGTGTGAACTCTAAACCTGCAAACCCTGACCCTAAATACCCTACATCCCTAAACCCTAAACCCTAAACCCATAGACCCTGAAGCCAAACGCAGGGTTCAGGGCATAGGGCTTGCGGTTTAGGAGGCTAGGGGCGCTTCCACGGGCTCCTTTTAGTTTTTTGGGGTTTAGGGTTTAGGGTTAGTTTTTTTTTTTTTTTGCGGTACTTTCAGGGTTCCCATTAAGGTTAAGGGATCTTGCTCTTCGGGTTTACAAAGTGTTCCAAGCCCTCGAGTTCTGACCCATACCTTAGAAGCTGCCCCCACCCTGTAATAGTGGTATAATAGGAATATAATAGGGCCCTAATATAATCCTATATAATCCTTATGGTCACTATTACAGGGTGGGGGCAGCTTCTAACCCATACCGGAAGCCAGGCATATCCAGCGGTACCTGAAGCTGACGCTCGGCTGTTCATCTCTGGGGTCTAGGCTTTCGGGCTTCGGATTTACGGTCTCGGGTGAGATGAATCCCGTGGCTCTGGGGAAGAACCAGCCTCTTTCTGTTTAGGGTCTTGGGCTTCAGCAGTCTTTGGCTTAGGTAATCCCTAAACCCTAAGCCCTAAACCCCAAACCCTAAACCCTAAACCCTAAACCCTAAACCCCTAAACCCTAAACCCCAAACCCTAAACACGAAGCCTTATCGGCCTTTTTTTGGGTCCTCCCGTGCTTTGGAGGAACGGTGCTGGGAGCCGCCTCTCCTATTCGGAGTAGTTTAGTCTTTTAGGGTTTGGGGTTTGCGGGTTTTTGTGTTCAGGGTTTTGGGTTTAGGGTGTAGGGTTTGAGGGTTTAGGGTTTTGGGGTTTGAGGTTTGGGATTTTTAGGGTTTAGGGTTTAGGGTGTAGTGGAGGCAGGTACGCAGAGGGGTCGGCAGAGTTGGCAATGCAATTGGGTTGGGAGCAGTTCGGGATGTAGATGACTGAAGCAAAACCGCCGCTGCATTCGCCACGCGCTTTTGTTTGATGGCGGTTTACGGCGTCCGTCGGGAAGGACGACTCGTCAGTGAACACTGCTAGCCATCGTGCCAGGGCACTTTTGGGTTCTTGGTGTCGTGCTGACCGCTTTTGCCAGCTTGCTGAAGCAGCACAGGTTGATTGGGGCCCTTTGCGAGCCCAAGCCTCGACTTTTGAAGTCGCAGCAAAAGGGCAAATGCTTGGGTAACTGCGACATGGCAATGCGCTGCAAGGACCCTGAGGGAGCAACAGACTAAGCAAAGTGTTTGAAGAGACCGGTCGAGTTAATTCTGTCAAGCGCGTGTGGAGAATAGGGCTCGGAAGGATTAGCCGTCTTTATTCCTTGGGGTTCCTTGTGGTAACTACAGTATAAGATGCCCACAAACCCCCTTCTAATGATTAAGGCCCCTAAAAGTACTAAACGGGGTCCCTTGTAGAGTATCCCTTCTTTGGACAAAGGCTTAAACCCTAAAAGCTACACCCCCAAAATCACATCACCTGCCTACTTGGAGGTTATAAGTAGGTTATACTTAGGATAACCCCACTTAGGGGACTTATAACCCCACTTATAACCTACTTACTAAGTCCCATGATCCTCCAAGTAGACCCTAAACCCTCATCCCTATAGATCCCTTTAAGGAGCCCCTATAGATCCCTTTAAGGAGCCCTTTAAGAACCCCAAACTAAGTCCCATGATCCTCCAAGTACCCTTGGATCCCTCCGATCCCAGCACCCGAGGACGAAGAAGCCCTTCTTCCGGTCGGAGACTCAGTTTGAGTTTGGAGGCTTTCAGGGTTTTGGGATGTTTTAGGAACTGAACTTAGGGGTACTTAAAAAATAATTTTTAAATTTTTGTTATTATAATCCCTAAGAAATAGTTAAAATTATAATATTTGCTAGGGTTCTAAGTTCAGTATAGTGAAGGGTTTCTAGGGTTTTAGGAGTTTACCTGCTAGGGTTGAGGAAGAATCCCTTTTGTTGACTTTGTTGGTTGGTGTCTGTGGTTCTTGTTTTGCGTTTGTTGATTGAATATGGTTGTATTGGTTTATGGAGTGCTTTTGTTGTGAAGTGTTCTATTACCTTGTTCTGGTTTGGGATTTGGGTTAGCCGCTGTAGCGAACCCTGAACCCTAAACCCTAAACCCCGATGATGGGGCTTTTGCTGGATGTCGTTGCAGGGGTCTTGAGGAGGTAGCATCGGACTGAGGGTTTCACGGCTTGAGGGTTCGAGGGTTTTTGGGTTCCGGGTCATTCCGACCCCGCCAAGACCTGAACCATGAGCCCAGGAATGGCTCAGAGTTTAGGGGTTTAGGGCATTTTAGGGGTGGAGGGGAGACAATCCCGGAGCCGCCAGCCTGGCACCTCCTACCTGGTCCTTTCTTCGTTTGCCCCGAGTGCAAAAACAGGACGGCGAGATGGGAGACTTACTGGAGCAACCGGCAGCGCCGCGAGATGGGTTGGGCTGTGTGCAAGAAGCTGAAGCCTGATGGCAAGTACTGCAGCTTCAAGATGTACCACCCGGAGACAGCGAGTAGAGGCACATATGGTAGTTTCCGAAAATTAGGGTAATTACCATATTTTGGCGGTACTTATGACACGGAGCCTACTATTTAGGGTTAAGGGTTTAGGGTGTAGGGTTCAGGGTTAAGGGTTTAGGGTTTTTATGGTTTGGGTTTTAGGGTTTAGGGATATTTAGGGTTTAGGGTTCAGGGTTTAGGGTCTTGGGGTTTAGGGTTCAGGGTTGAGGGTGTGGGGTTTAGGTCGTACTTACCACGAACCTGGCCGGCCTCATACCCTTCGGAGGCCTGTGGCAGGGTTAGGGAGAGCAGGGGTACTTTAATCAGTTACAGGTTATACGAACCTCGTGAATCCCACTTTTTTTTGGGAGTTTCCGAAAATGGGGGATCCCAGTATAGCACCCTAAATGGTAGGATCCTTATTATAACCACCCCAAATTCAGGTCCCCCAAATTTCCGGAAACTCCCATATCCTTGTAAATCCCTGGACCCTTAATAAGGACCCCTAGGTATATACCCTTTATTATTTAGCCAATATATACCCATTATATAGCCCATTATAGGGTAGGGGTCCCCCCTTTTAGGGTCCCTCCTTCTCCCCTTTGACGGTTTGGGGTTTGGAGACCCCTGAGAAGTAAAACCCAACATCCAAGAAGCACCGAACTCCAAACCCTCAGCCCTAAACCCTAAACACTCTAACCGAAGAAGCCCGAAAACCTTATTCTAATTATTAAGGCCCCTACGATACATTACATCCAAGAAGCCCCGAACTCTAAACCCCCAACCCCTAAACCCCAAAAAACAGAAGCCCCGAACCCTAAACCCTAAACCTTAAGCCCCTAAACTTACCTTAACCCCAAATAACCTACCTTTTTAAGGACTGATACAAAGAACTCATATGAGGGAACCCTTGAAAAGGTAGGTTCCTTAGGGTCCAGGTAAAACAAAAGCAGAAGCCCCGAACTCACCGAGATCGAAGATCGGACGCGCGTCCCCAGAGCCTCCAAAACCCCTTAATTAAGGAATATGCCTTAAATTATAATAGGATCCCTAATATGATTTAAGGTATATTCCTTAATTAAGGGGTTTTGGAGGCTCTGGGTCTGGCGCAGGTTGTGGTTGCAGTCGCTGACGGACGAAGCCATCCGCCAGGGCATGAAGAACCTAAGACCAGGCTGGGGTTGGTGCTTTGGGGGTTTTAGGGGTTAGGGTTTTTGGGTTTTAGGGCTTAGGGGGTTTTGGGGGTTTTAGGGCTTAGGGTTTTTGGGTTCCGGGTTTTTGGGGTTTTGCGTTTTAGGGTTTAGGGGGTTTTGGGGTTTTAGGGTCTAGGGGGTTTTGGGGTTTTAGGGTTTTTGGGGCTTTGGGGTTTTTAGGGTTTAGGGTTTAGGGGGTTCAGGGTTTTAGGGTTTAGGGTTCTTGGGGTGTCGGGTTTTTGGGGCTTTGGGGTTTTTAGGTTTTTGGGTTTCAGGGCTTTGGGTTTTAGGGCTTGGGATTTCGGGATTTTGGGGTTTTGGGGTTTTAGGGTTTAAGGTTTTGGATTTGGGGTTTAGGGGCTTAGGGGTTTGGAGTTCAAGAATTAGGGGCTTTGGGGTTTTTAGGGTTTAGGGTTTTTGGGGTTTAGCGCCCAGGCTGCTCCTGTCGGAAGGGCTGAACATAGAAGTCTGAAAAAATTGCAATGCTTTTCCTGAGGCTTTCAGGGTTCCATGTTCTTGTTACTGGCACAACACAGTAACACATCTCCACAAACCTATTCCAGTTACTGAGGCTGCCAGAATTTTAGGTTCTCGAGCCTTCCGGTTTGGCCATAAAGCCCTATATAACGCATAGAACGCCATGAAACCCAACCAAATCCTTATGAAACCCTGGTTGAGGGAACTCTCCGCTTCGAAACCCTGAAGCCCTAAAGCCCAAACCCTAAAATGCCAAGGCCTAAACTCCATATCCCAACCCCTCAAAAGCCTCACGTTGTGAACTGCCTGGTCCAATGTCAGGGGAGGAGTTCGACAACTTGGCAGCCGCGGCAGAGTGCAGGCCAGGAGGTACAAGGGTTTCTATTATTGCGTTTTGCCAGGAGTTTGTTTGGAGTTCTGTATAGGATACGGGCAATATAAGGGTCGCTATGGGGTTGATATAGGGTTTACAAGAGTTTATGTTAGATGTGAATATTTTCTGGGGTTGAGGGTTCTTAGGGCTTACCAGAACTCCAAAAACTTTCTTGTTGTATGTACTCGTCGGGTCAAACCATACTACGGTTTTTTAGGGTTTTAGGTAGGGCTTTTGCCGTTGGGCCCTCGGACTTTGCTCGAGGGTTGATTTCGGGTTTAGCATTCGTTGTGGACACATGCATGAGCAATCCGCACTTTCTTTAAATAGATCTGTAAGGGTGCCGATAAAGGAGAGTATAGGGGTTCCTTTACAGGGATCTGTAAGGGTTCCTTTATGGGTGCTACAAGTCGGATTCCAACGACAATCCTCATTGAGGGAGGTTGTTTGTGTAACTAGGTTGCGATACCCAATTCCCCTTAATTAAGGAATATACCTTAAATTATAGAGGCCTTAATATTATGAGTAAACGTATATTGGATTTCTGGGTAAGCGCGCGATCACGTACTTCAGGGGTGTGGACTCTGAGCGGATGAGCAGCCATGACGAGACACGGATGAAGCACACATTGATCCCGATTTAGCAAGGAAGCAAATAGCTCCTGAACTCCAGAAGAAACCCTTGAACCATCAGTCCTAAACCATTAAACCGTAAAGCCCTCAATCCCACCCGGACCCTATAAAGCCTATCCTTCTGGCGTTCCGTATCATGTTTTGTTTCACAAGTTCTTAGAAAGAGTATGTTATTTGGTGTTAAGGTATACCCTAAGCACATACAGCCTAGAACCCGAAAGCCTGATGATGGAACCTGGATCAAAAGCTTGTTCCGTGAATAAGCCACTCTATTACCCGAGGATTTTAAATTCAGTGCATACATTAGCGTGAAGCTTTAAATCCTACGGCTTTACCACGCCCAGGGACCTAGACCCCGCGGTTCCTCCTTTCGATAAAGCTTGTACCAACCCGAAACCTTAAACCCTAAACGTAAAACCTCTAAAGCCCTACACCCCCTAAACCCATAAACTCTGACGCCTTCCAAAGTCCCGTAAAGACTTCCTGCGATTCCCAAGCCGGTGTTAAGAACCTCAGACCCTACACGGTAACCGCCAACTTCTGAACAAGTTGTTGTAAAGCCTCCCCTAAACCCTCAACCCTAAACCCTATTTCAAAAAAGAGCAGCCCGCACATGTTGGGGCTCGAAGATGTGAACCCTTGAGGATGCAGTGGGATTGGCTCATCGGAATCAACAGCTCGCGTGCCCTCGCCCGAGGCGCACAGTTTTTTGGTTCAGGTAAGGTTTAGAGTTTGAAATGGGCTTCTGGCTCGTAGGGTTTAGGGTTTAGGGCAGTTTAGGGTCCGGAGTGTAGGGTTTAGGTCTCGTTAGGGTTCTTTAAGGGGCGCAACATGGTTTTGGCGTGGTTCTCGAAGGAGCTTGGAAAGATCATGTCCGCTTCCGTGAAGGTGTTTACAAGATTTCTATAGGTAAGTGCGTCGTGTAAGGGTTGCAGAGGTGTAGAGAGGGGCTCTATACGGGTTCTACAAGGGCTTTGGTTTGGTGCTTTGTGTGAGTTTTACGAGGCTTCTACAAGCATGTCTGTAGGGGTTCTGCAAGGGTTTGTTGAAACGGTCTTAGAAGGGCTCGAAAGGGGTTCCATTCGAGTGTTAGCATCAGCATACAGGGTGGATTCTGTGAGGCCATTTCAGGGTTCTGCAGGGGTCGAGATGTTGGGGTTTAGAGTTTAGGCTTCAGGGTAGGTGTTGGATTTGATTCGCAGAAGCGGAGCGTCAGTGGTTCCTGAATCCAATACAGACCATCAACGTCCCTAAAACATATTGCACGTCGCAGGTGCTTGCATACGTTAACACTTTCGCTTGCAGAATCGGTTTTAGGATTCCTCGGCTCAGGATTTTCGGGACAGCGTCTAGAGGATGTAGTCACGCAGTTGTGTAATGTGGTGTGTACTCAAAGGAACCCTGAAGCCGCAAACCCTATCGCACCCTCATAGATGTTTGGATTAACCTTTACGAAACCCTCTTAAAACTCTATCCTTAAAAAGTCCTCGTGTGACCGTCGACCATGCACATCTTCGAAAATCCCTCCGAAGCCCTGCAAAACCCGGAGCCACAAAGCCTCAACCCTA